TACCCCATGTATTTCTCTCTATACCCCATGTATTTCTCTCTATACCCCATGTATTTCTCTCTATACACCCATGTATTTCTCTCTATACCCATGTATTTCTCTCTATACCCCATGTATTTCTCTCTATACCCATGTATTTCTCTCTATACCCCATGTATTTCTCTCTATACCCCATGTATTTCTCTCTATACCCCATGTATTTCTCTCTATACCCCATGTATTTCTCTCTATACCCCATGTATTTCTCTCTATACCCCATGTATTTCTCTCTATACCCCATGTATTTCTCTTATACCCCATGTATTTCTCTCTATACCCCATGTATTTCTCTCTATACCCCATGTATTTCTCTCTATACCCCATGTATTCTCTCTCTATACCCCATGTATTTTCTCTCTATACCCCATGTATTTCTCTCTATACCCCATGTATTTCTCTCTATACCCCATGATTCTCTCTATACCCCATGTATTTCTCTCTATACCCCATGTATTCTCTCTATACCCCATGTATTTCTCTCTAACCCCATGTATTCCTCTATACCCCATGTATTTCTCTCTATAACCCCATGTATTTCTCTCTATACCCATGTATTTCTCTATACCCCAGTATTGCTCTCTATACCCCATGTATTTCTCTATTACCATGTTTCTCTCTCTATACCCATGTATGCTCTCTATACCCATGGTATTTCCTCTTAAACCCAATGTATTTCTCTCTTATACCCATGGATTCTCTTATACCCCATGTATTTCGCTTATACCCATGTATTTCTCTCTATACCCCATGTATGTGCTCTCTATAACCCATGTATTTCTCATATTACACCATGTATTTCCTCTATACCCCATGTATTTCTCTTACAGTTTCCTCTCATCCTATACCATGTATGTTCTCTCTATACCCAATATTGCCTACTATACCCAATGTATTTCGCTCTATAACCCAGATATTCTCTCTATACCATGAGTTATCTAGTATACACCTTTTCTTATTTTCATATACAGTACCAGTCCAAAAATTTGGACACCTACTCATCCGAGGGTTTTTCATTATTTTTACTATTTTCTACATTGTAGAATAATAGTGAAGACATCGAAACTATGAAATAACACATATGGAATCATGTAGGAACCCAAAAAGTGTTAAACAAATCAAAATATATTTTATATTTGAGATTCTTTGAAGTAGCCACCCTTTGCCTTGATGACAGCTTTGCACACTCTTGGCATTCTCTCAACCAGCTTCATGAGGTAGTCACCTGGAATGCATTTCAATTAACAGGTGTGCCTTTTTAAAAGTTAATTTGTGGAATTTCTTTCCTTCTTAATGCGTTTGAGCCATTCAGTTGTGTTGTGACAAGGTAGGGGGGGTATACAGAAGATTGCCCTATTTGGTAAAAGACCAAGTCCATATTATGGCAAGAACAGCTCAAATAAGCAAAGAGAAACGACAGTCCATCAATACTTTAAGACATGAAGGTCAATCAATCCAGAACATTTCAAGAACTTTGAAAGTTTCTTCAAGTGCAGTCGCAAAATCCATCAAGCGCTATGATGAAACTGGCTCTCATGAGGACCACCACAGGAATGGAAGACCCAGAGTTACCTCTGCTGCAGAGGATAAGTTCATTAGAGTTACCATCCTCAGAAATTGCAGCCCAAAGTAACAGACACATCTCAACATCAACTGTTCAGAGGAGACTGTGTGAATCAGGCCTTCATGGTCGAATTGCTGCAAAGAAACCACTACTAAAGGACACCAATAAGAAGAAGAGACTTGCTTGGTCCAAGAAACATGAGCAATGGAAACACAAGCAACTCAACTCAGACTTAGTGGGACTCGTGACTCGACTCGGACTCGATCACAGGAGACTAGGGACTCGACTCAGGCTCGAGGTTTAGTGACTCGACTACAACACCGGTTCTGATGCTATGTACATGTGTTCCCGCAGAAAGCACACACACGTACACGCACGCACATAACATTGTATCACTCGTCGGATGTGGCAGGGCTTGCAAACTATTACAGACTACAAAGGGAAGCACAGCCGCGAGCTTCCCAGTGACATGAGCCTACCAGACTAGCTAAATTACTTCTATGCTCGCTTCGAGGCAAGTAATACTGAAACATGCATGAGAGCATCAGCTGTTCCGGACGACTGTGTGATCACGCTCTCTGTAGCCGATGTCAAGTGCTTTGAAAGGCTGCTCATGGCTCACACCAACACCATTATCCCAGAAACCCTAGACCCACTCCAATTTGCATACCGCCCCAACAGATCCACAGATGATGCGATCTCTATTGCGCTCCACACTGCCCTTTCACACCTGGACAAAAGGAACACCTCAGCGTTCAACACCGTAGTGCCCTCAAAGCTCATCACTAAGCTAAGGACCCTGGGACTAAACACCTCCCTCTTCAATTGGATCCTGGACTTCCTGACGGGCCGCCCCCAGGTGGTAAGGGTAGGTAAAAACACATCCGCCACGCTGATCCTCAACACATGGGCCCCTCAGGGGTGCATGCTCAGTCCCCTCCTGTACTTCCTGTTCACTCATGACTGCATGGCCAGGCTCGAATCCAACACCATCATTAAGTTTGCTGATGACAGTGGTAGGCCTGATCACCGACAACGACGAGACAGCCTATAGGTAGGAGGTCAGAGACCTGGCTGTGAGGTGTCAGGACAACAACCTCTCCCTCAACGTGATCAAGACAAATGATATGTTTGTGGACTACAGGAAAAAGAAGAGGACCGAGCACGCCCCCATTCTCATCGACGGGGTTGTAGTGGAACAGGTTGAGCGCTTCAAGTTCCTTGGTGCCCACATCACCAACAAACTAACATGGCCCAAGCACACCAAGACAGTCGTGAAGAGGGCACGACAAAACCTATTCCCCCTAAGGAGACTGAAAAGATTTGGCATGGGTCCTCAGATCCTCAAAAGGTTCTACAGCTGCACCATCGAGAGCATCCTGACTGGTTGCATCACTGCTTCGTATTGCAACTGCTCGGCCTCCGACCGCACGGCACTACAGAGGGTAGTGCGTACGGCCCAGTACATCACTGGGGCCAAGCTTCCTGCCATCCAGGACCTCTATACCAGGCGGTGTCAGAGGAAGGCCCTAAAAATGGTCAAAGACTCCAGCCACCCTAGTCATAGACTGTTCTCTCTGCTACCGCACGACAAGCGGTACCGGAGCGCCAAGTCTAGGTCCAAGAGGCTTCTAAACAGCTTCTACCCCCAAGCCATAAGACCCCTGAACATCTAATCAAATGGCTACCCAGACTATTTGCATTGCACCCCCCCCCCCCCCCCCCCCCCCCCTCTTTACACTGCTGCTACTCTCTGTTTATTATCTATGTATGCATAGTCACTTTAACTCTACCTACATGTACATATTACCTCAATTACCTCGACTAACCGGTGCCCCCGTACATTGACTCTGTACCAGTACCCTCTGTATATAGCCTCGCTGTTTTTAATATTACTGCTGCTCTTTAATTATTTGTTACTTTTATTTAGTATTATTTTATATTGTATTTTTAGTGTGATTTTTTTTGTTTGTATTCTTTCTTAAAACTGCATTGTTGGTTAAGGGCTTGTAAGTAAGCATTTCACTGTAAGGTCTACACCTCTTGTATTCGGCGCATGTGACAAATCGGGGCTACTTTCACAGGCCAAACTCTTGTTCTTATGCCAATTTTAGCTTCTGACACTAAAGCATCAATCTACATATCAGGGATAGGCATTTATGCCTGAATGGCACTTGGATAAGTCAGGAGTAGTGATGTGCAGTTTGCGAACGATTCATTCTTTTTGAACGACTCTTTTTACTGACAGTTTGACCTGCTAGTGCTGGCCGCAATGAGTCCTCCAGCAGGATGAATACATGCTCCTCCAGCTCAGCGGCTCCAGAGACGTGCTCCGACCACCAACTGTCTGTCATCTGCACGCAGGGAAATAGATCATGAGCATAGAGACGAAAAATACATGTTTAGAACTGATAATTGATCGCATGGTCCAAGAATGATGGCAATTAATTGATAATTTAATGTAATGATGGACACAGCTTTGTAGAACCAAAACATACACAGCCTCTGCACAACAAACTCGAACCCGAGAACGAATCGGGGTGGGATGCTGCAGTTCGCAAACGACTGTACTTACCACCCTCACGGCAGTCAAGCAATGCATTCTGCCAAGAGTCTTTCACAATCTAGTCCGGTTGCGGCCACAACTAGACCTCGTTTCAAATGTATCAAGAAATAATCGTATTTTTTCCATACAATCAACACATGTACATTGTTTAAAGCACATTTTAAAAAGTCTCAGTCACAAATGGCGGCTCCAATAAGCCCCCTATGGTGAACAACATGTGACTGAGAGGCTTGTAGAATCATGACTCTCGAGTTTTCAGTTCATCTTTCGCCGGTAGGGGGTCCTGCATGGTCTGGGCATTACTGACTCAAATGAACGAAATGAGTCAAAGATCAGAGTCAGTAAAAAGAGCCAAACTTCCCATCACTAGTCAGGATAATGGATTGGTATTCCAAAGATTATGGTCACTTGCCCGAAATTGTGAAAATAGCTAATTACACACAGTAATTCCAAAACGTGTCAGTCTTTCACTTACTGTAAATGGTAAGAAACAACAAAGATACATTTAGGCTGATGGAATTCTTTGCAGTTTGGTTGTTTTCAGGAATACATTTCACCCGCCCAATTGGGCAACCACAGAGCAGGTTCACTTGCCCCGACTGCTCAGTTCAGTTGCCCAAGGTCAACCCTTAATGTCAATCCCTGCATATAAATAAATCTGTAAGGTTACAAGGTCCTAATGTGGTCATAAGATTTCCTGCTGTTCAAGCAATGGTAATTTCAATTACTTTTTATATTCAAATTGATTCTTCAAGACGATACATTTCTTAGGAGCTTGGGGACAACTGTCTCAGGTTGTGTTCTGCTTCCTGTTATTTTCTCCTTTGTGACCAGGCCTCTGGAATAGCCGTCCATGACGACGTCGTGCTCACGTTTGACAAGATCAGAGTTCGCCTCCAGGGGGCCGATAAGCAGGAGCAGCTGAAGCTGGTGCTCTTCAAGATCAGCGACGACGGGAAATGTATCGTCGTGGACGAGGACAACTGCCTGAAGGTCAGCGGTAGCATACATAACAGTATATCATTATAAATGTCATAATATATGACATTTAGCAGACACTTTTATCCAAAGCGACGTAGTCATGCGCACATCATTTTTTTTTACGTATGGATGTTTCCCGGGAATCGAGCACTTTGCAAGCGCCATGCTCTACCAACTGAGATCCAGAGGACCATATATTTAGGCATTTTAAGCCCTTTCTCGATGTCTATTTCCTCGATTCCTTGCATCCTCTCTCCTCGCTTCGTTCTCAAAATGCATTGGAGAAGAAGGTCCAAGGGGAGGGACCTTCTCCCCCCATACTATTGAGATGGAGTCAAGGAGATAGGATGCTAGGAATCACAGAAAAAAATCAGGGACTGCATCCTAAATCTCATAAAAAAATCTCCTAAAGCAGTGCACTATATAGGAAATGGGGATACCTGGTCAGTTGTACAACTGAATGCATTTAACTGAAATGTGTCTTCAGCATTTAACCCAACCCCTCTGAATCAGAGCGGTGCGAGGGCTGCCTTAATCGACATCCACGTCATCGGCGCCCGGGGAACAGCCTTGCTCAGGGGCAGAACTACAGATTCTTACCTTGTCAGCTCCGGGATTCGATCCAGCAACCTTTCGGTTACTGGCCCAAAGCTCCTACCTGCCAGGCTACCCGCCGCCCCCATAGGAAATAGGGTGCCATTTTGTATGCAATCGGAGAGTTCGGGCAACTAACCATGTTAGTGCCTTAAAGCATTCCTTTTATCCAGTCATGACGAGTATTTGCTACTTTGTTCTAATTCAGTGACACATAGCATTGTTTAAAATTCATACAATTCTGTATAATGTAATTGGGAGGTAACGTGGTTGCCATAGAATTGTGTAGTGTCATGTTAATGCATCAAAATGCAGAAACCGCAATGTCCAATTTTTTTTACTATTATATAATTGGGGTTAGGGTTAGTAACGTGAACATCTGGAAAAGCACTATATAATTTGTTATCAATTAATAAAAATTACCAATCAATTAAGGTGAAGGACCTGAACGGGGAGGAGGACGTATTCAGGAAGATCGTCAACATGATGCCCACGGAGGACTGCCGCTATGCCCTCTACGACTGTTCCTGGGAGAGCAAGGACAGCCCCAAGGAGGACCTGGTCTTCATCATGTGGTAGGTTGAACCATGGAGTACCGTACCACCATGAATAACACTACCATGTCAGCCGTATTGAGTGGAGGGAGTGAGAGAGAGAGGATTTGGAAATTGACTCAAGGCAGAACGTTTGGAGCGCTTTCTAAACGTAGTATTTTTCTGTTTGAAAATGCAGGGCTCCAGAACACTCAACTATCAAAAAGAAAATGAAATACGCCAGCTCAAAGCAATACATTAAAGCAAAGTTCCAAGGTAAGAGGTTGGGTATTCTCAGGTATCTTTCAAGACTTTCAGCCTATCCCCTTTCCAACATCAGGGGGATATGTTCATTAGGCACCAAACGGAAGAAAATTGACTGAAACAGGGAGACTGCCTGGACTTGTCCAATAAGATGCTCTCATTTTCAAAAGCCTTCTATGACAAATCAGGGAATGACATGTAACACAGTGGACTGTCCACATCAAGATGCTATGAAAAGTACACTCATTTTAGACATGAAATAACTTCACAAACACCATCAGTGGAATGACATCAACTACAACACCATCAGTGGAATGACCATCAACTACAACACCATCAGTGGAATGACATCACTACAAACACATCGTGGAAGACCATACTACCACACCATCATTTTACTACAACACCATCAGTGTGGAATGTCACACCACTCGGAAGACCACACCCTGGAATGAACATTCAGCAACACATCGTGATGACCACCTCAAGTATCTTGTCAAATATCAATATATTCAGAGACGACCTATCAGATCTCAGAATTGCACAATCAGTTTTCAGGGGGACCCTGATCACCCTGGACCACACCCTGACACGCCACCGATCGTACCTCATCAGAACCCAAAATATACGGTTGTTTTACTCCAATGTTTGTAAACAACATACATTTAAACAAACACTGTATCGCCTCAAAATATGGATAAAACTATCATTTCTATATCATGGATGGTCAGTCCTTGCATCCATATCTCTGTCTATGAATTTGAGTCGTTACATTTCTCCGGGCCCATCCATCAGCTTTTTACCAAACACCATTTTGTTATTGTTTCAACTGCGGATTCTAGCGTTCATGAGCCTGATGAATGACACAGAAATTCTAGACTAGTGACCTAAGGTGGTCTAAGCCAGGTCCTCCAGAACACATACACCTCTGCAGCATGGGTTTGAAACCGGCCTATTTCAGCACACTGTCCTCTTTTTTTAAATCTCCAATAAACAAACAAAAATATGTGAGGAGTGAGATTGCCCCAACTCCTTAAAAAAAGGAGAAATGACTGACTGTCTGTGTTCTCGTGTGTTTCACAGGTCTGAAGTTTGAGTGGCAGGTGAACGACATGTCAGACGCCAAAGACAGCTCTGCCTTCATTGATAAACTGGGAGGGAGAGGAGTTGTTAAAAAACTGGAGGGGAAAGAGGTCTAAGGTCCTGACTCCTGACGCCACCATACAACATGGAATCAAAACCAGACCTGGGTTCAAATACAATTTGAAATCCTTCAGATACTTTCAGCGTTTGCTTAAGCCTGCTTAAAAGTGCCAGGTAGGCAGGTTTTTTTTTTTTACGTTTAGGGCTTCTCTATTGGTTGCAACAGGCAAGCTCAATCAAACACAGCTAAAGTATTTAAAATGATTTCGAATAGTTATTGAACCCAGGTCTGTTCAAAACACCGACACAAAAGCAGCCCAATGCCGGTGTCTCCAACTGAACTGTCCAACAACAGAGTGTGGTAGTTGATTAGGTCTTTATAGAAACATCCCTTGGTCAATGGCAGATTGGTAATGAAATAGGTTGATACATTTAGTACTTTTTCCAGGCATAACTCCTCCACGATTTATACAAATTCACATGTATTTTCCTGTAGCTTGGGATCCTAGTTTCATCCTTGAATGTGCTTTTATTTTTGGTATCCTGTGTCTATTGACTCTGTTCCAGACTAAAATACCATTGATATCACTCCTTCCATGTTTGCTGATGTTTTGTTGAAATTGGGAAAATGTCACATAATATATTGTTAAAAAAGGAAGATACCTCCACAGAATGTTGATGGCAGAAGGTCCGCCCCTTTTATAATAAAGAGAAACTGCATTTCCTGTATACTCCCCTGGATTTACAGAAAAAACTAAAATATATCCAGCTCCCCCTATGTTTAAGTGAAATATTAACAATGTATGGCATTTCTGTGTGTAAACAGCTAATTTAAACCAGAAAATATAAATGACAGCTATTGTAAGTATGACACCGGAACTCATCTTGTTGACATGGCATGGGGTCGTTACCTGGTGACGAAAAACTTTTGATTTCACCTAATTTTAACATTCTGTCATCAAGAGCTCATGTTGAACTTAATCAAAAACATGTTTTCCAATCAATTTAAAATATATAAATAATAAAGACTATTTTAAGTGCCAAATAAAGTAACAGGGTTGACGATTTCATCTTAAATCAGCCATAAATCATTGAGACAGGGGAAATGGAAGCTTGGTGTGTGCAACAGGGAAGGAGCAATTGGATGCAAGCTTCACACAAAAAAAACATTTCTAGCCTGTCTATCTATGGTTAACAGGGTTGACATGTTGTGCTTGACCCACTCAGTTTTCCACCACAAAACACCAGAAAATGACCAAATAGAGTTCAACCAGCATTTACACTATGATTAGATTATTAGATGTTCAATGTTTATTTGGAAAAACATATTTTAAAAGGAATAGTTTCTCGATATTTAAAGAGTTCAGTTCAAGTAACAGGGTTGACTTTAAAATGAGGGACAGTTTTTTTTTTTTTTACCTTAAAACGAATCACTAATCACATTAAATAAAGAATGATCTTCAGAAATGACTTTGTCAAAGCAACAACAATAACTAGGGCTTTACAACGATGGTGACAACTTGGAGAAATGTTGGGGTTAAGTGGGTTCAAATCTTCCTGGATGTCAAAGAGGGTGCACAGAGGGACATGTCAAAATGCTGAATTTTGGCACTTTAGCAAGTCTTTATGTGGTCTATATTAAAGGCACTTAATTGAAAATAACTGGCTTTTAAAATTCAATATTAGCGCACAATTTCTATATAAAATATCAAAGGGATGCAAAAGGCACTAATTTCGCGGAACTACCCGCGTGTCCTTGATGCGAAAATTAACCCTTTGAAATTGTTGTCTAGCATACAGTATATGAAGCTCACATAAGTACATTACTTTAAGCCACACATGGAGTCATACTAAAAGTATGATTAAAAATGTAACTTTCCTCAAGAAGCTCATGCTAGTTTTAACAAGGGGGACTCTATGTGTTAGGGATGTTAATGTTTGAAATTAAATGTTAAGAAAAAACACTTAAGTTATGAATGTTAGGATTCTAGTATCCAATAACTCTTTGCGCCACTATTCAACAAGTCCCCAACTTCTGCATTCGGAATGACTGGGAGTGAATGGTAGCAGCACAGAAAGTTTGCCATCAAAGTGAAAAACTAACTTAATCGTAGTGACTTTCAGCGAACTACTCAGCGAACACATAACATAACTGCTTTACTGTCATTCTATTCCTTTAGACATTTTTTAAAATAATCTACATCCACTTTATTACTGGATTTCCTGACCGCTGGTCACGTTTTCAATGCTAATCCTGTAGAACCCAACAACGGCGCTGGTCCCATGAATTTGTTTATTTTTCGAAAGCTTCCGCATGGAATTATTGCATTGTCCTAACCTTCCCATCTTCAACCTAGACCCATGCCAGGAAGTAAAACCAGGAAGTGTACCCTTCAAGCTGTGCTGTGATTTGTTGAGTCAACTCAACTGACATTACAAAAAAATACATTCCATTGCATGAGCCACATCAGTTAGCATCATTTGAACGAACATTCTACATTACCATGGTAATCCAGCATAGTCCCAGTCGGTATTAGAACGTTAAGGCCCCGCCCGCCTATGGGGAAAACAACCTGTGGTTACATAAATTACCCCAATGGCTCACAGCAAAAACTTCACATTTTTCAAATGCAATTTTCTTGTTGTCTGCTTGTTTCAGTCAATTACAAAACAACATTTAAGAAAAGTACAACATGTTTAAAGGTTACTTTTCAACATTGCCTGCACCCGAGCATTCTCACTACTTAGAAAAACATATAATATTGTAGGGCTTTCCTCATGCCCCTTTTCATGAAAGTATAATTAATTTCTTCCCGGGACGGGACCTCCTATATGTGCACGTGCTTGCGTGTGCACCAAAAAAATGTATGGGCCTAATCACAGAATTACAAATAGAATCCCTATTAATTCAATAGTATCTCTGTGGGCCTAGTAGTAAAAATTTGTAATTTAACTTTTAAAATGTATGACCTTTTATTGTGGCATAAACACAACCAGTCATGATGTTTTCATCTGATTGTCAAACAATCACTTCAAAGGCCTCCTTTACTAGGCTATCTGCGCATGTTCATCCACTCATATTTCCAGCCTCCAAACCGTGTTGAATGGAAAGAGATACAGTATCTGTTACACAAAACACCAAAGAGTGTAATGACATTTGGCAATTGTCAGGCCAGCATTTACAGTGCCTTTGGAAAGTATTCAGACCCCTTGACTTTTTCCACATTTTGATACGTTATAGCCTTATTCTAAAATGGATTAAATAAAACAATTTCCTCAGCAATCTACACACAACACCCCATGATGACAAAGCAAAAACAGGTTTATAGAATTTTTTGCAAATTTAAAAACAAAACGAAAACAGAAATACCTTATTGACATAAGTATTCAGAACCTTTGCTATGAGACTCGAAATTGAGCTCAGGTGCATCCTGTTTCCATTGATCATCCTTGAGATGTTTCTACAACTTGATTGGAGTCCACCTGTGGTAAATTCAATTGATTGGACATGATTTGGAAAGGCACACACCTGTCTATATATATGGTCCCACATTTGACAGTGCAAGTCAGAGCAAAAACCAAGCCATAAGGTCGAAGGAATTGTCCGTAGAGCTCCGAAACAGGATTGTGTCGAGGCACAAATCTGGGGAAGGGTACCAAAACATTTCTGCAGCATTGAAGGTCCCCAAAAACACAGTGGCCTCCATCATTCTTAAATGGAAGATGTTTGGAACCACCAAGACTCTTCCTAGAGCTGGCTGCCCGGCCAAACTGAACAATCAGGGGAGAAGGGCCTTGGTCAGGGAGGTGACCAAGACCCGATGGTTACTCTGACAGAGCTCCAGAGTTCCTCTGTGGAGATGGAAGA